TCTTCTTCTTCTTTTTTTTTTTTCCAACTCTAAATGAAACTTGATGAGGGCCCGTCCTTAGTTATCAGGGGAGTCAGTTTCTGGTCAGTCCTCTTGATTCATCTCTTTTAGATTTAATCAGCATTAAGGTATTGCTTGTCCTTAAGAGCTTTAGCTAATGGGGTTACTGGATGCTTTTCTCAGTGTAATGTTTCCTTTTCAAAAAATATACATATATATTTACCTCTCACTAAAGATGGGGGCGGGGAACAGCTTGGAATCTCCTCCCTCCCTCTCTCCTTTTAAAAAGGAATTCGGAGCGATTAAAACGTTGGGGGGGGGGAGACGGGGGGAACAGTTTAAAGACCTAGGGCAGGAAATGCAGATTCATTTGGGTTAGGGCTGAAATTGTAACAAAAAGCAATTCCTCGAGTAAATGCATCAGATAAATCAATTTACATAAAGGTATGATGCATTCGGATAAATGCAATGCTAATGGGTTTTAGAGTGGTCCTGTTCCAAAGTCTCAGGGTTTTGTTACAGCTTAATTGGTGCAGTTCTTATTCTGGTTTATTGTGTGGTCACTGGACACACGTTCCGGGACTCTTTCGGAGGAAATGTGTTTAAAATCAGCCTATTTAAGGAACACGAGTCCTTGTTTCGTTCCCTCTCCCTCGTTCTTTTGCAGCAGCCAAGTTGGGCCGGGGACGGACAAAGTTCGCCCTCTCCCTTCTGAGGTATCAGCTGAATGTCTTGAGCAGATAGCTGGGAGCCTTGGGGGGAGCCCACGTCTCGGCTTACCGAGGACAAAGACAAAACAAGCTGCTTAATTGGCAGTAAATAACTTGATCTTTTTATAGAATAAGTGACTGGAGGAACACTAGGACTTTATTGGACTCAGGATTGGAGGCAACAAATTAGTCGGTTTAGGCTAAGCTTTATAAATTGATTCCTATATTACACCCCAGTTGCTTCTCTTGTGGCATTCCTTAGAAAGAGTGGGGGATGTCTAAAAGCACTTTTGGGTGACAGCAGAACTGGCTCGAATTTAACTTGTGCATCCCCCTCCTAGTGCTTTCTCGTCTATTATCTGTGCCCCCCTCCCTCTTGGAGGAACAAAGCTTTAGCATTTAAATTGCTGATCAAGGGCAGATTAGTGAGACCAAAGTGGAGAGTGTTTGTATAGGAAGTTAGCAGGCATCCTAAAGTTCAATGATCTATTATTCCTGCCTGTGTCCTGAAAACCCAGAGAAAACACTCATTGATCTTCAAAATGAAATGAGATTTGGAACAATAATGGGAGATGGCGGTCACCACAATGGCATGTGAAAGGTGCTATTTAAAATACGAAAAACCAGTTTCGCAACTTTTACACACCGCACCCCCTCCTCCCGCCACCACCACGGATCTCCATCTCCCCTCCGTAGGTCCCTCCCTCCTTCCCGTGCTGAAACCCCAACTATTTCTAACTTGTGAACTGCAGCTGCACTTCCCTGAGCAGAGCTCGGAAGGGAACGTGGCTGCGGCGGGGCGGTCGCCTCCCCACGCCCCTCGGCGGGCTCGGAGAGGGCGGGCCGGGGCCGGGCGCGGCGGTGGCTGTGGGTGGGTTTGACCCTCATTTGCTGGAGGCGGGCGGCGGCGGGAGGAGGGGGAGGGGGAGTGGGAGAGGGCGGGGAGGAGGCGCTGCAAGGGGTGGAGCGCGCCGCCGAGCCTGGCTTTCGGAGTTTTGACAGTCCCCGAGCTGAAATTGTCAGCGGCGGCGAGCGCTGGAAAGTTGAGAGGAGCTCGTGGCCCCAGAACAAAGCTTGAGAAAAGTAAACAGGCGGCTGCTGCCGGCGAGCCTCCCTCCTTTGCTCTCCCGCTCGGCCTCCTTCCCGCCCTTGCCCTGCTGCTTCCTTCCAGCAAGCTCCGGGGGAAAGGGAGGAGGGGAACAGCTTGCTATCTAGGCGATTACTAACTTTTGCATCGCCCGTGTTGTCTTTCTCTCCCTGTCCCCTTCCCGCCCTCTGCAGACCATGGTGAATCCGGGCAGCAGCTCGCAGCCGCCCCCGGTGACGGCCGGCTCCCTCTCCTGGAAGCGGTGCGCGGGCTGCGGGGGCAAAATTGCGGACCGCTTTCTGCTCTATGCCATGGACAGCTACTGGCACAGCCGATGCCTCAAGTGCTCCTGTTGCCAGGCGCAGCTGGGCGACATCGGCACGTCCTGTTACACCAAGAGCGGCATGATCCTTTGCAGAAATGACTACATTAGGTAAGTCCTCTGCCTTTCCCCGGGATGGGCGAGCACAGCAGTGGCAAGGCCAAAAGTTACCAGGGGTTTGAAGGGAAGGAGCGGCTAGCTATGGGAAGTCATGACGGCCTTCACCTCCAAAACCTTCTGGTTGGCGGAATTTAAGAGATTCAAGAGGCATGTGTTAATCTTCCAGTATTTGATGACAAATTAAGGGCAAATGCCATACTAAGTACTTTTGTCTGGTGTGCAAAGGTTGAGCACCTTCTGGACCAAAATTGTAAGTCATCAGCCTTAACCTGCGTTCATGCTCACAGTTAGCATGTCAAGTGGGAGTTAAGCTTTCTTACAGCAAGCTGGGACTCACAGATAAATTCGGAGAAAAGGTTTCCTTAAAAGTAAAAGTACAGTTAGTAAGAACTGTAGTGGTGGCTACTTATGATATTTTGATATTTATACATGAGCTACCTTTAAACTTTTCGGAGTGGAAAGCTGTGACTCATTCCTTGTGCTCCTTGTGCAAAATGCTGATTACCCATCAGTTTAAAGACTTGTAATTCTTTTTCAGCAAAGAAAAAAACCCCATAGAACAGTGATACTCCTGCTTTTTTATACTGTTACTTGAGGGATTGGTGTGCTCAGTGTTAGTGTGTGGTTTTTGCTGTAGAATTTGCAGTTTTTTTCATTTGAAGAATGTTCAGGTTTGGGGTTTTTATTGTCATTTGTAGCACTGCCCCAAAGAGAATTAGAAAAAGAAGCTACAGAATTATACTAATCTTGTATTTTAAAGTGATGTATAGGAACATTGATGTGTCCCTGTAAGCAGTCTTTCCTAACAAGTTTCAATGCCATTAATGGAAAGAATTCAGGAGGTCAGGTGCCTATAGGTTCTTTTCAGGTGAACTCAAGCTACTTAAACTCATTAATTTGAAAGGAGGCATTTGAAGGATTACACATTTAATTTGAGTAAATGGTTTGATAGACTGATGCACATGAATGCTTCTAGGAGGTGTTCTGTTTCAACATCCAGTAATTAAAAAAAAAAAAAACCCACACGCACACCGATGATATAGTAGAGAACTGTGCACTTTTAAGAATTTCATCCTATTTAAATTTCTGCCCTAAACCTTTCTCTTTATAGTGATTAGCAGAAAAATTTTGTTCTTCAATGCAGGTAAATCAGTGGATGAGGTATTTTGTTTAAAGTTTAGCTCAAATGTGATTTTCATCACTCTGCGGCTGTTACTGCAGGAGATCCCAATGTAGTTCAGGCTCAGTGTGGGTGTGTTTACCCCACTGCTATCGTTAGTGTAAAATGATGAGTAAAATGAGATTTTGTTATTCTGGTAATGCAACCTGTAGCCTCTGCTGGCAGCCTCAATCAGTCAAGTAAAAGAAATATAGGAGGGAGAGGGCTTTTATTTGTAAATTAAGATGGCCGCATTAATTTCACTAAGTGTTCTTCTAGAAGTAAATGTTGGAAAATCAGTAGGAGCATGGTTGTAATGCGTTCTGGTCCTCCTTCCCAGCAATGCCATGAGCTTTGACAGTTTTGTAATTAAATAGAGAGCAAGAATATAAGAAAAGATGGTGGTTTGAAGTGGAAAAATTGATAGTGCAGTTAACATTCAGCGAATGGTACAGTTTCAGCTCTTGTCCAAAAAGTAAAAACAAAACAAAAACCCCTTTGCTTCTGATTACCACTAATTAAAAAGAAGATGGGTCCACTTGCATTCCCTTAGGACGAGTTTGGGCAAGTGGCTTCCTGGGAATCCAGTCCATTCCTCACCTTATTCCTGGGGCCAATTATAAATGCCCTTTCCGTGTTTTCTTGTGGCCTAATGGAACATTGGAGGATGTGCGCCCAGTTCTGAACCTTAATTAATATTGTGGTCCATATTCTCACTGCTTTTTTTTTTTGCTTTTGCCTCTGAGTCTGGGAACTGGAGCTAGGCTTGCTCTTGAACTGGATGCTACACTGAGAAACTTAAGTGTGTCTGGGGAGATGAGTTACAGTTCAACACCAGGTAGAGCATGGCCTCACACTTTGATCAGGGTACCAGCAGCTGAACGCACAACGCCCCCCACGTAGAGATCTCTGAAATGTGTGTTCGCTCCCTTTGCCCATCAAGATGCCAAAGGGGTGGGAAAGTGGAGGAGGTGCAGACTTTCCTTTTCCTCTCAACTGCCCCCTTCCCCCCAAATCCACTTGTTGAAGGAGTTTTCAGTTCCTCAGGGACTAACAGCTGCTGAAGAGCGACGTAATCCGCTCGCCCTCCACCAGGTGAAGAAGACCCCTCCGCCTGGCTTGGGACCACAGAGCGATTTATTAAGGAGCTTTTAAACTGTCTGACTCTGAGGTTGTGGTTTTTTTGAAAACAACTAAGATCTGGCTAAAAAGCTGCGGGAGAACCGGGAGAGGCCAGCGGGGGGCGGGATAGGAAAAAGAGGGGGGCACGTTTTCGCCAGTCCCCTCCCGCTATGTGGCCCTGTGTCGATTGGGCAGAGCTGGGCTTCTGCCTGCTCTCTCTCCAAGATTTCAGATAAAGCGGTTGCCTTGCTGCAGCGAATCTGCACAATTAAAAGCTTTAATTAGTGGCTCCTCCATTTTCTTAGTACTGATGGGCTTTATCTAATGAGATCTGGTCTCTGGCTTAGATCTGCTCCGAATGACGTGTCCGCAATGAATGAGAGCTGCGTCGCAAACAAAACATTTAATTAACAAAATTGGCCTCTAAGAGGGAGGGAAAGGCTGCCGGGAGGGAGGGGGTGCAGGGGGTAGGGAGAGGATGGATCTTAAAGGGACCATATCTGCCTGGTCCGGTCTCTCCGCTCCCCCAACACCTTACAAAAGTCGCAGAACCTTGGAACTGCTCCCCACCCCGTCTCCAGACCCCCCCAGCTCCACTTGAGCGCCACCGAACAGCTTCGGAAACTCCAGATCTCTTTCCGGTGCTCTTTTCTCCACCCCCACTTGGGGCCCGAAGACTGGTGCGGAAAGTGCTGGGAGGAGGAAGTTCGGGGAACGATGGGTGGGGCTCGGTCCTGGAGGGCGAGGAAGCGCGCCGGAAGCCGGGTGGCGGTGGTGGCCGGCGAGCAGTTCTCCGGTGGGCTTGGCCGGGTCGGGCCGGGCCGGGCCGGGGCCGCCCGGAGCGCGGACGGGGCGTCCAGCGAACCGGCGGCCTCGGGCCCCGCGAGGGGGCGAGCGCAGGGCGGGAGTGGGGCGCGCGGGGCGCGCTCTCCATCCCTGGCTCCGCGCCGGCTGGCGGGCGGCTCACGTGGCGACCGCAGCCGCAGTGAGCGCAGCGCGGTCGGTGGGGGTCGGGTTGGGGACTGGGGGTGGCTGCGGTGGAGGGTGTGTTTGGGGAGGGGGCAGCGTTAGGAACGGAGGCGCCGCCAGGCAGCGAGTTCATTTCCCTGGTAATCAACAGCAAGCTGCTATAGTCAGAGAATGCTGTCCCTTTAATTGAACAGGCTAGGTAATTAAATGGCACTTTTCCAATAGGACGTGCTAGGTAAATCTAATAGTTGGTTATTTAATATCACTTTGAAGTCTGCCCACTCAAGCACAATGACAGCACAGGAGCATGTGAACTATTAGCTAGGAAAAAAAAAAAACCCAGGATCTCAAAAATTAATTAAATCGCATGCAATTTAGGGGGAACGTTTATCTTGATTTGTCATAACAGAATTAATTCAAGGCCTCCAATTCACTTGGGGGCAGATCTGTTACTCTGAATTAACCAAGCGTAATTTGGCTGATTTTTTTTTTTTCTCTCCCTCCCCTCCCTAATGCAGCAGTTGTGATTGTGCACAGCCCCCCTCTTAAGTATCAATAGCTTTTGGTGCTTTTAAGGTGCTTGGTCTCTAGTTATTCCGAAGTACCTTTAATGGAGTTGGCTCCAGGCATAATTTTTGGGTTGCATTTCTTTGTTACATTTAATGTAGCTGCTGCAGAATTTAGATTAAATATAGGATCCTGCTGGAAAACCAATTGCTTCTGGATCAGTAGCTGTGGATGTGCATTTTTCTCCTCAGATAGGTTGCTGATATTTATTTGCAGGTACAAATGTATACCTTTCAGCCACACTTCTTAGAAACGCACCTCTCCTTGCCTGAAAGCAGTTTAGAACACACAACCAGGTAGCGCTCCATATTGCCAGTATTTTGCTTTAAGTACTAATGCAGTTGAAAATAAGCCTACCTATTGGTCATTAAAGTTCTTGAAAGATCTTAAGTGTTGATAACTCAACTGAAAATTCGACTTGCTCTCCAAGGAGATTTGGAGTTGAGCCGGCAAGGAGGATGAACCCCACACAGAAGCGCATACCTTGAAAGTGCGGGGGTTTGGTGGGATTTCTTCCCATCTTCCCTTTCCCCATACAAGGAACCTCTTGATGTTTGTGATTGATTGCCTTGCCCAATGCTGAAATATTAACGACCTTCTTGGACTGAGGACCCAAAGAAAGGAAACTGAAACCGATTCTGTCATCACAATTAAAGACTCCCCTGGCTTTAATTAGCCTGACCTGGGGTATATCTCCCCGTTGCTTGAGTTAAAGAGAAAAGAGCCCATTATAGTCCGGTCTGAGACCGATAGCTACTTAATTGAGCACCTAAAGCCTCAAGCCTTTTAAATCAAACACTGTCCTGGACAGTCCCCCTGGTTAGATAATTAACTCTCCAGCGCACAGAAACGTTGTTAAAAAAAAAAAAAAAAAAAAACAACTTTTAAGAAAAAAAGGTAGAATTCTAATGGTCGCCCTCATCTCTGATTAAAAAGGGGAGGGGGTGTATTAGAATGTGGATAGACATGTGAGTTGTTCTGTGAAGGAGCCTGAAAGCTGTAGACATGGAAAGACCTTAAACTCTATTAGTAAGTTCAGTAGCACATCAACCCCTGGGTAGCTCACGGTCATTTTCAAACTTTGTAATTTTTGACACTTTCGGCATCCCACCATTTTGTGGCTGATTGTTCTCTGGAAGGTTATGAACGCAGTGCTGGAGAAAATAAAGATGTATGAAAAGCCTTTGGATCACACCCGACCGCCCTGATTATTGAAATACACTTAGATGTTGAAGACGTACAACTGACTTTACTCAGAGTGAGTTGTTAAATAAATGAACCCTTAGTTCTGAACTGTGAAGAGGTATTTTTAAGACGGAGTGTCAAAGTGTACCTGTTGGTAGTGGCGGCCGTAATTAAAGACTCATCCATTAAAATACTTCCGGGCCGCCTGGAGGACGTTTGGTCTTTAGCTCTGGTAGGATTCTGCTTCGCCCTCCCAACTTCCCTCCTCCTTATCCTCAGCATGCATTTTGCCACACTGACAGGTTTTCGACTTTATTTTTAACTGAGCTGTTCGAATTTGGGGTCTTTTTTGGGGGATCGGACTAGCTGGACATTGTCCACACACCCTTTCCCCATGGCTTTCGTAATTCTCTGGCCATCCTGCTTTTCTGAGAACCCCTGTGCAGGATAGCTGCACAGTTCTGCAGGTGAGACACCAGGAGGTCCCCATCGATGGTCCTGAAGTGGCCCAGCATTAGGAGATGGCAGCCCACAGGCCCCAGGCTCCCTCTCAGTGCAGTCCTGCAGCTAGAGGTCCTGACAGTGTATTATTTCAGCTTTCTTTCTGTAACTGTTCTGATTCCGCAAGAACGTGTCAATGTGTCGTGGATCTCAGACTAATTAGTTTTGAAATGGAGTTTTGATTGAACTCTTCAAATCGATGCTGCTGCAAAATTTGTTTCTCAGGCTTCCTATTAAAAGCCATCTTAAGGGGCAGTTTTACTACTCTCCCTGTCGTTCAGTCGATACATTTAATAACAACTTACAGGCTATTTTCAATAAAGTGGCGACAGCAAATTAGTAGTTTGAACATGACAAGCCTCTTCTGCAAGACCAGATTCTGAAAACTCAAAGCAATTATTTTTATATAGAGGCATGCCACAATCATTCAGATTACGGGGTGTTCTATAGGAACATGTCTGCTTGCTTGACACAAACTGCATTTTATGACTTTATTTGGACAAGGAGGAAATGCAAATATTAATATTTATTATGACACCAATGTGTTAATTTGTAAGACCCATTACTTTGTTTTTCATTGTCGAAAAGTGCGTCTCTGACCCTGCTTACTTGTTCCATGCCACCTTTCATTGTGAAGTCATTTTGGTCTGTTTCATAAATATTTGTGGATATTAGAAGAGAGAAGCCTAAAAGCAAACAAAGCTTTCCAGCTTGAGCTCACAGATTCCGTAAAAGCCAAAGTTCAATAGTCCTTAAAATATTTTGTTGTGCCTATAGAGGGATATAAGGAATTCTGTATATGTTTTTCTTTAGTACATCACACTTCCTTGAGCTTTCCCCTACTCTGCAGCCTTTTCCTTCTCCCCCTCCTCCCCCCATGGCAGATGTTGTGGTCTCATTTGATTGCATAGGAAAACTGCAGTGATACAGCAAACACCCAGAGAGATATGATGACAAATGGGTCCAGATCCCGGTAAATTACTTTCTGCTCAAATCGAAATTTCATTCAGTTTGTTGCTAGCAGAGATGAAGTAATCTAAATTGTGGACTCAGGAGCAGATAGAGGGAAGTTGGAGCAAGCATTTCATTATCAAGAGAGAGAGAAGGTTAGGATGAAAGAGATGAGCAGAGGCAAATCTTAAGTGTTGACACCATGATTGAAAAGGTTAACCCATACACATTATATATCAACCTGGATAGCAGAGAGTTTCTAATGGAAAGTCTGCACTGATGGAGCTTTACGGGAGTTTCAATACACTGAGCATGGTGTCTTAGATATACAATCAAATCCTCTTAACCCTTTTGATGACTCATATCTCAAGATATGATTAAAGTACAAAAGAGTTCTTCATATAATTTCAAGGACACAATGCATTTAAACTCCAGTCATGAATTGTATCTTTTTTTTTTATGATGAACCCAGTAATCTGATAAAACGTGTATAGAACAGAATTGTTTTGTATGTGCTAGAGGTGTAAGTCAATATTTTTATTAAATCCGGGGTGTCCTCTTCCTCTGTGATAGGCAGAAGTTAGTTGGCCCCCTGAAAGATTACGAAAATTTGAGGGCTGAGCCTAAGAACTCAGCCTCTGTCAAATATGTTCCAGAGAGAAGGGCAGACGCTGGGGTATTTTTCTTTCTTTTTCTTTGGTTTGGGGTTGTTCATCGGTACCTACCATCATTCTTTGTTTCAGGTTATTTGGAAATAGTGGTGCTTGCAGTGCTTGTGGACAGTCGATTCCTGCGAGCGAACTTGTCATGAGGGCACAAGGCAATGTGTATCATCTTAAGGTAGCGTTTGCACCTTTTTTTTGAATGTTTGAATGCACACCTTTCCTACACAGGGACAGAGCATATCTCCGTAGTGTGAATTCTGTTTTCTGAAGCTGCAGAACCGAAGCAGTGATCGACATTGTGGTGTGGGGATGATGGTTGCACAAGCATACGCATGTTACACTCTGGCACACTTAAATTTGTCTCTTTGCCCCCTTAGCCTGATCTACTTTGCTGTGCTTTGGCTGGCTGTTTTCTGGAATTCTGTCAAAGGAAGGAAAACATGAAAGCCTAAGTGGCTTTACAGATACCCGCTTAAAAACAGTTTATAAACTTGTGACCAAAAAGAGACTGACTTTGTACTTATTTTCAGCCGGTTTGTTTCCCTTTCAGTGTTTTACATGCTCTACCTGCCGGAATCGCCTGGTCCCAGGAGATCGGTTTCACTACATCAATGGCAGTTTATTTTGTGAACATGACAGACCTACAGCTCTCATCAATGGCCATTTGAATTCACTTCAGAGCAATCCACTACTGCCAGACCAGAAGGTGAATAACCAGCAATTACTAATAAGCTTTATTAGAGCAAGTTGCAAGGTTCAGCCTCTTAACCTAGCCAGTGTTCCTGGGTGGTTGTGTTTTTGCATGCACTTGTAAGGAAATGAAGCTACTCACACGTGGCATATTTAGAAGCAGGGTAGCTGGTCAATCTGTGAATGCTTTGCAGTTAAAAAAAAAAAAAATTGTATATCCATAGCTTCACATGTGGAACAGGGGAATATAAAACTTGCATATATCCATTGTTCATTCCACTTGAGAATTTTGAAATTAGAGACTTGATGTGGTGGGTTATTGTGGAAGGAGAATTAGGACATCTATGTAGGAAAAGAGAATAAATGTCTTTGTCATGAAAGAATGACTTCTGTATTAGTAATAGCCACCCAGACACCTGCCTCCAAACTGAATTGCTAGTATATTTACTTTGAGAAGAGCAGTTTTACAAAACATTCTGTAATTCCACAGAGGAGCATTTTGTTGATTGTTAGGTCTATAAAATTTGAATAAGTTATGACTTTAAAAAAAAAAAGTCCTTGCTCTTGCTAACCACTTCGTGCCACTAATAGAGCTGTTAAGTATTATGTATCTTGATTCTTGACCCACACTTGAAAGTTCTTGACTAGAGTTAGAAATGAGAAAATTATCAAGTGTTCAAATGGTGTAGTATTAGAAAGCACAGTTGTCCAGTACCCCCAGTACTGGATAGTTTTAGATCTATTTTAATCTCCTTAATAAGTCCTATAGCTATGCAAGTGAGTGCATTTTGATAACTGCTGTGCCTAATTTGTAACAATTACTGTCAACCTTCAGTTAAGAGACTGTTCATTCCACACTGGCCCAGAAAAGAGTGAAATGTATGACTCGTGTGCATAATTTTATTCACATCATATTTCATACTGATTATGTATTGATGACATTGATTCATTTACTCTTTACAGCAGCACTTGCATGGATATTAAATCTTATTGACCACAGATGAATTTTAATTTCAGATTGGTGATAGATTTTTCCATCAGCTCTGATAGTATGTTTGACTTTTTCATCATTAACCCAAGCAATCACACAGCACTGAGTTATTGCATTGAAACAAAAAGTGCACACTTCACTTGGTAATTCTTTATAGATTTACAATAGAAACTTCATTAATGTCTGTTGTAAGGCTCACAAAAAAACAACATTTATCTGCAAATAGGAATTTAGTAAGCTTCCAAAATCTCGGGAAAAATATTAGCTCCTTTGTCTTCTGTAATGCATTTCCTTAATACTGTGGGGGAGAAGATAAAATATTTAAAAACTTTTCACCATTTAAAATTCTACTGCGGTATTATGCTGATATCCATCCTTTTCCCTTGCTCATGGTTATGGGGCAATTTAAAATGTATTCTTTATTTAGTAAGTGTTAATTACGTGAAACTGCAATTTTATTTATTTAATTTACTAATGTACAAGGCTACATAGAATAGCCATTTTAATAACAAAAATATAATTTTTATTGCAAATTCACCAGTTACCTCTCATGAGGTATTTATGCTTCTTTAAGGAATGCCAGTGCCTAAGTAAGAATTGAAAGATGGAGAGACTGATGGGAAATACACTAGATTGTGAAGCAATGAGTGTAGTTAGCTGGGGACTAAGAACAGAGGACCCCGTAGAAACATGAGCATGGTTTTAGTAGCATCCTGTTGAGTACAGGTGATGTAAATTGAGAGGTGTTAGGAAGGAACACTGGAGGAAAATCTGGTTTATACATTTATAAGATTACATGTATTGTGCTTATATAGAAATCTTCTGTTTTCCAGTCCTTTTTTTCAGGATGGGAGTAGTAAGGTGTTTATTTTGGAACTCAAAT